AACTACCATCAGAGTGAACAGGCAACCTACAGAATGGGAGAAAATTTTTGCAATCTACTCATCTGACAAAGGGCTAATATCCAGAACCTACAAAGAACTCAAACAAATTTACAAGAAAAAAACAAACAACCCCATCGAAAAGTCAGCAAAGGATATGAACAGACAGTTCTCAAAAGAAGACATTCATATAGCCAACAGACACATGAAAAAATGCTCATCATCACTGGCCATCAGAGAAATGCAAATCAAAACCACAATGAGATACCATCTCACACCAGTTAGAATGGCGATCATTAAAAAGTCAGGAAACAACAGGTGCTGGAGAGAATGTGGAGAAATAGGAACACTTTTACACTGTTGGTGGGATTGTAAACTAGTTCAACCAATATGGAAAACAGTATGGCGATTCCTCAAGGATCTAGAACTAGAAGTACCATATGACCCAGCCATCCCATTACTGGGTATCTACCCAAAGGATTATAAATCATGCTGCTATAAAGACACATGCACACACATGTTTATTGTGGCACTATTCACAATAGCAAAGACTTGGAATCAACCCAAATGTCCATCAGTGACAGATTGGATTAAGAAAATGTGGCACATATACACCACGGAATACTATGCAGCCATAAAAAAGGATGAGTTTGTGTCCTTTGTAGGGACATGGATGCAGCTGGAAACCATCATTCTCAGCAAACTATCGCAAGAACAGAAAACCAAACACTGCATGTTCTCACTCATAGGTGGGAACTGAACAATGAGATCACTTGGACACAGGAAGGGGAACATCACACACTGGGGCCTATCACAGGGAAGGGGGAGGGGGGAGAGATTGCATTGGGAGTTATACCTGATGTAAATGACGAGTTGATGGGTGCAGCACGCCAACATGGCACAGGTATACATATGTAACAAACCTGCACGTTATCCACATGTACCCTAGAACTTAAAGTATAAAAAAAAAAAAAAGAAATAATGAAAACATTCGTGTTGATAACCTAAGTTAACTCTTTTAACTGCAAGTTGCCATTTAAATCTTGTTTTTATTTTTAAATGGAATACTTACAGTACCTTCAAGTGACTGAAGTTGACTGGCTATTGTCAGAACAATGAAATGACAAAGCCACACTTATGGGTTTGCCTCTTCCATTGGTCAGGGTGCTGAGTTGGCAGCCATGGGTGAAGACTGTCCAATCAACCCCAGTGTCTGCGTTCACTTCTAAGAGCAATTAGGCAAGAGCATAACGTGTCTGAAATATATTTCATATTGAATGAGATGGAGATGTATTAGAGGAAAAGCCTCACTAATTGATAATTATATTCATACATTGTCTCATTATTTCCAGTTTATGCAAATTATAAATATCCAAAGTTGTTTTTTTTTTGAGAGTGTCACTGTGTCACCCAGGCTGGAGTGCAAATGGTGCGATCTTGGCTCACTGCAACCTCCATCTCCTAGGTTCAAGTGATTCTCCTGCCTCAGCCTCCCGAGTAGCTGGGATTACAGGCACCTACCACCGTGCCCGGCTAATTTTTGTATTTTTAGTAGAGATGGGGTTTCATGTTGGCCAGGCTGGTTTCGAACTCCTGACCTCAGGTGATCCACCTGCCTCAGCCTCCCAAAGTGCTGGGATTACAGCGTTAGCCACCGTGCCGGCCTCAAAGAGATTTTAAAATATTCTACTTGTCAACTTTCAACAAACTAAAGACAAGGGTAAATACAAATGCAATATATGCTCATGTTAAAAATTTTTATCTGTTTTTGAAATGCCATTCGACCCAGCAATCCCATTACTGGGTATATACCTAAAGGGATATGAATTGTTCTGTTATAAAGACACATGCATGCATATGTTCATTACAGCACATTCACAGTAGCAAAGACATGAACTCAACCCAAATGCCCATCAATGACAGACTGGATACAGAAAATGTGGTACATATACATTATGCAATACTATGCAGTCATAAAAAAGAATGAGATCATGTCCTTTGCAGAGACATGGATGGAGCTGGAGGCGATTATCCTTAGAAAACTAACAGGAACAGAAAACCAAATGCCACGTGTTCTCACTTATAAGCGGGAACTAAATGATGAGAACACACGGACACATAGAGGGGAACAACACACACTAGGGCCTATCAGAGGGTGGAGGCTAGGAGGAGGGAGTGGATCAGGAAAAATAACTAAACGATACTAGGCTTAATACCTGGGTGATGAAATACTCTGTAAAACAAACTCCCATGGCACAAGTTTACCTATGGAACAAACCTGCACATCCTGCACATGTACCCCTGAACTTAAGATAAAAGTTAAAAAAAAAAATTGATGATGTCTATTACATATAATTATTTTCTTGGGATTTTTAAAATCTATTTTTCTTTGTTATTATAAAAAGCAATACACATTCATATCAGGAGTATGGGATCACCAGTGATTCTATCTATCTATCTATCTATCTATCTATCTATCTATCTATCTATCTATCGTCTATCTATCTTTTTTTTTTCTTGTTAAAATGTTTGGAACTAATTTCAACCGACAGAAAAGTTACAAGAACAGTACAAAAAATTTCCTGCTTCTCTTCACCCAGAGACTCCAACTGTCCTAATAATGTCCTTTATAGCAAAAGGATCAGGTGTGATGCCTTTAGATAGTGCATTTCGTCATCCCTTTCATGTGAAACTGTTCCTCAGTCTCTTCAATTATTTTGCAAAATGTCCCCTCAGTTTGGGTTGGTGCACAGTTTCCTCCTTATCAGATTTTGGTTATGCATTTTGGGCAGAAATGTCACAGAAGCGGTGGTGTGTTCTTCTCATTATGTTTCTTCTTATGGCACATGATGTTGCTCATCGCATTCCATCAGATGACAATCTGTTCCATCACCCATGTTAACTTTGATCACTGCTGATGTTAACTTTGATCACTTGGGCAAAGTGATGTCAACAATTCTGTTCTATAAAATTACCCCTGTTCCTTTTCTAGTTAGTAATTATTTTGCAGGGAAATGAGTTGAAGCTGATTCTATTATTTCTTCAATTTCTAAGTTGGAATTTTATTATAAGGAATCACTTTCTCTTCTCTGTCATTATATATTCATTTATATCAGTGAGGACTTCTAGATTACCATTTTATTTGATAGGATATAATCTCTTATCTCATTGTTTATTTTGATACTCAGGTTGCCCCATATTTGGCCAGTGGAAGCCCCATCAAGCCAGCATCTATGTCTTTTTGTCACCCAGGTTAGAGTACAGTGGCATAATCTCAGCTCACTGCAACCTCTGCCTCCAGGTTCAAGCGATTCTTCTGCCTCAGCCTCCTGAGTAGCTGGCACTACAGGCGCGCGCCACCACGCCTGGCTAATTTTTGTGTTTTTATCAGAGACAGGGTTTCACCATGTTGGCCAGGCTGGTCTCAAACTCCTAACCTCATGATCCACCCGCCTCAGCCTCCCAAAGTGCTGGGATTACAGTGAGCCTGGTCGGCACTTTATTTCTTTCTTGCAAGATATTTAAGGCCCATCTTATATTTTACCTGGCCCAGATCTGGGATCAACATTTCTCTAAGGAGTCCTGGTTCAGGTTTTCTCAGTGCGCCATGCTAAAAAAATATGTATATACACACATCTATGTTTTACATTTAAATTTACTTTTATATCTAGATATATTGAAAGTCACATTTTCATGCCAATTGCTCCAATATCAATCCAACCCCGTAAAGTACATTCAAGTTTTCCCCATTTTCAGAACCCAAAGGGTCAGAGAAGTTCATACACTGAGTTTCAGTGTAGGAAAAAGGCTTATTGAAATGTTTCTAACCCTGATTCTCATCCACTGGAAAAATTCTTTCTTTCCTTAAGGCCTTCAGTTATTTCAAATTCACAAAATTCAATTTTTGCTGGGATTTTCATGTCACCAAGTTTACAGGTATGGAAACGCGAGTTCTTAACACCGTCAGGATCACCCACAAGAGGCTGAGGAGCCTTTGTGTTAAATCCAAATTATATTACATTCTATTCAGTGCATGAAGAGCACAACCATAATGTGAAAAAGTCCCACATTTTGCAAACTGGAGTAGGTTTTCTTCCAAAACAATTGATTGCCCTTTGGCAGGTTTAATGGGGGGTTACTTCTCAAATGCTCATTTAAACTAGTTAGTCTTGTTTGCAGACAAACAATTACAAGAAAAATATGTCTGGAAGGCAGTTCTAAGGCTGTTCCTTAGGGCACTGCTCTACTGTGCCTACTTATTAATCATACAATGTCTGGAGCACCTAACATCGTGATTGTATTTGATTGGCCTACTTAGAGACCAATGCACTTGACAAATATCAGATTATTATTTTTCCATTTTACCAGTAAGGAAACCGGGGTTCAAATAATTGTGGTAACTTGCTGAATTTGGCAGAGAAAGTGATCAAGATAGGACTTGAACCATAGCAGTCTGGCTCCACTGGCCCATGCTCAGTCATCACACTAAGCTGCCCACAACAAAGTTTTTAGGGAAAACCTTTTGGAAGATTAAATTGCCTGAAAAATGACATTCTGCATAAGACCCCTGTCTTAGAGTCTCCTTCATAATACACAGGCTATTGGGTCTTTGGGGTGGGGTAAAGGTGGAAGGCAAGGAAAGGATAAAATGTGAAAGCTCATTGACCTTTTTGGCCCTTCATTTTGCCTTATGTAGAGCTATCGGATTCAAGCAATGGGCACTATATTTTTGAACTAAATCTATTGCTTATTAAAATTGCCCCCCAAAAGCCAGAGAGATTGACTGTTCCTTCTCTTGGCACACACCACCAAACCGTAAAGGACTTTACATTCAGTAGCTTGCCTCCCTGAAAGTGGCTGACGAGAGAGCCTGATGCATGGTACCTGCTTTCCTCCTCTTCCCTCCTCTTCCCCCAAACCTCCTCTCACAGTGGATGGGCAGCATGGACAAGTTGCAGGAAGAAGTCTCCAGGCCTTGACTTTGAGCTTGATTTGTGTTTCAGATTGCTGGGCTGATCGATCCCCACTTCATGAAGCTGCAGCTCAGGGGCGCTTACTGGCCCTTAAAACTTTAATTGCACAAGTAAGTGAACCGAAGACTTGATCCTTCATGCTTATGCTATAATTACACATCATTCTTTATTAGCTTTGGCTGTAGCAGAGGTGTGGCTCACCCTATCCAGGTCCCACCATTGCCATTCTAGGTATGTATGCCCTCTCATACCTCACCATTTATTCCTCCTGCCTCTCCTTCCCTGGAGAGCTCCTTCATTTTCTGCCTAGTTCCCTTCTTTTCCTCTGGGTCTTCCTTTATCTCATAAGAAGTTTCCCTATGAGGGACGATAGAGGATGCTCTCAAATGTTTGTTGCACTAACTCACCTCATGCTCTTCCAGCATGCATTAGCACCAGCAGTCCTGAAGTTAAGTTAGCCATTGCTGCCTAACAAATGACCTCAAAGCATACTGGCTGGAAACAACAGATACTTGGATTTTCATGGTTTCTGTGGGCCAGGGAGCATTTAGCTAGGTGATTCCGGCTCTGGGTCTCTCACAGGCTGCCACGTGTCAGCCGGGGCTGCAGTCATCTCATGGCTCAAGCGGGGCAGGATCTGCTTTCAAACTCACTCATGTAGTTGTTGGGAAACCTCAATTCCTTGCCACACGAGCCTCTCCACAGGGCTGTGTCATGAGATGGCAGCTGGCTTCCCCCAGAGACAGTGCAAGAGGCACCTAAGAAGGAAGTCACAGTTGTTTTATAACCTCATCTCCAAAATGACATTCTGTCACTTCTGCCATATTCTACTCATTAGGTGTGAGTCAACAAGTCCCGCCTACACTCAAGGGGAAGGGATTATGCAAGGGAGCCAACGCCTGGATTCCAGGATTACTGGGTGCTGTCTTAGAGACTGCCTATCCCAATGATACACTATTTTAAGAACGCACATTAAAATAGGTTGACAATGGCTAAATCTGACTCCCTAGGGAACATTTATTGACGTCTTAGCTATGAAGGCTACTTTATTTATATTTATGACTACATCCCCAGCACCTTGAACAATGAATAGGGGCCTAGTAAGTATTTGTGAAATGAATGAATGAAAGTGTGCAGGCTCCATTTGCTTTGTATGTTTTAGGGTCTACATTTACACAGAGGAGGTAAGCCATCACCTCTTTCTTCCACAACTTGGCAATCATCTGGCTTTCTTGCTACTTTGAATTTAAACAGCTGGGTACACTGCTTGCTCTCTCTTTCTCTCTCTCTCTCTCTCTCTCTGTGTGCATTTGTATGTATTTTTTCATTTATTTGTTTTTTGATTTCTCTCCTTTATGAGTTGTGTTACTTCTTAAAAAGTAGAGGCAAATGGAAATCAGCACTGCCAGCAATGATCAAATGAACTTTGTACCTGATTTTATCACTTGCTTATTTATTTTTAAGTACTTTAAATTTGATGTGATTTATTTTTAATATGTAATATATTCACATAGTTCAAAACTTAAAATTATCTAAAAAGGTGGACTGACCGGATGTGGTGGCTCGCGCCTGTAATCCTAGCACTTTAGGAGGCTGAAGTGGGTGGATCACCTGAGGTCAGGAGTTCGAGACCAGCCTGGGCAACATGGTGAAACCCCGTCTCTACTAAAAGTACAAAAATTAGCCGGGTGTGGTGGTGGGCGCCTATAATCCCAGCTACTTGGGAGGCTGAGGCAGGAAAATCGTTTGAACCTGTGAGGGGTGGAGGTTGCAGTGAGCCGAGATCGTGCCACTTCACTCCAGCCTGGGTGAAGGAGTGAAACTCTGTCTCAAAAATAAATAAATAAAACTAAAAAGGTGCACAATGAAACGTCTTGCACCCACCTCTTCTCTCTCAGTCTCCCACCTCAATACTTTCATTGGTGTATTTTTAATGGGCTTTTTAAATTTTTGGATAATTTTAAAGAAGAGTTGAAAAGGATACAGAGCGTTCCCATATACACTGTACCCTTCACCCAACTTCCTTTAATATTGACATCTTATATAGCTATGGTACATTAGTCAAAAATAAGAAGTTAACATTGATACAATACCACTGACTAAACTGCTCACTATTGGGATTTCACCAGTTTTTCCTCTCATGTCCTATTTCTGTTCCAGGATCCCACATTGCACTAATTATACTTAATAAGCATGTTAGCTTCAATAATATGATTAAATGTGTAAGGGGCATTCTTTATAGAAAAGTTCAACTTTTTCCTTTTACACCCCTACTTTTTTACCCTTATACACTGTTAAAAAATGTATTTGTCTACTTTTATAAACTTTATTTTACATTTAGATAATATGGTCGATGTGAGTAAAACTTTAAGCTGATGTGAGTAAAACATTAAGCCTATGTGAGTAAAACATTAAGCCACTGTGAGTAAATGTGAGTAAAACATTAAACCAAGATTCAGGAGCTCTTGGTTACACTGCTGGCTGTCACTGACAACCAGTCTTAAAAAGTATTTGAACATTCTACTTCTCCATTTTCTCATGCACAGTTGAGGTGATCTACTCTAGATGATCTTTCAGGCCTGTCCAGCCTTACGTTTCTACAATTTTAGGGATTCTGAGATTTTGCGCCATAACAAAGTTTTTTCTAGCACACTTCTGCCACCTTGTGGACTAGTATGTTTTTTCTTGTTTTCTCAAAAGGAAAACAAAAATGAAAAGACCTTTTCTAACTCTTACTAGATGCCCAGTTTGAAATATGTAGCACAGATCTAGGGCAATGACGTCATATTCAGGACATGAAAATAGACAGAATTCAGGAGTCAAAAAGATGCCTTATGATGAAGGGACAGACAGTTATGGGAAATCACAGCTGCTGGCCACAGTAAGGATGCAGCCAGAGATCTGGCAGGAGATGGTGGGCGTGTAAGTTGGAGTTTGGGGTTCAGGGTCATGGCATTGGGTTTTGGAAGCTTTCAGTTGGTCAGTTACAAGGCAGAGGATCAGAAGCAGGACTCAGCTGGGAAGGACAGACCAGGGACCTAATTCCTTTTATAAATCAAAAATAAAATTCTAAACACCGCCCCCACCCCCGCAACCATCTGAATGTACCCCTCCTCTCAGCCAGGGCATTCCAAAACTAACCTGAAAAATTGGTTCAGGCCATGACAGGAAAGGAGGGTTGAACATGCCTCATTATACTCTCCTCCCTTTTGGAACTCAGGAAAAGATGAGCAGAATTTAACATCAACACAGACCTTAAGTCTGATAAGAAACATTTACAATCTATTCTCTCTGAAGCCTGCTACCTGGAGGCTTCATTCACATGATAAAACTTTGGTCTCCACAACCCCTTATCATAACCCAGACATACATTTCTATTGATAATAACTCTTTCAACCAACTGCCAATCAGAAAAATTTTCAATCTGTCTATAATCTGGAGCCCCAGGCCCCCACTTTGAGTTGTCCAACCTTCCCAGGCCAAACAAATGCACATTTTACATGTGTTTGATTGAGGTCTCATGTCTCCCTAAAATGTATAAAACTAGGCTGTGCCCTGACTACCCCGGGCACATGTTCTCCGGATCTCCTGAGAGCTTGTCACAGGCCATTGGTCACTTATATTTGGCTCAGAATAAATCTCTTCAAATATTTTACAGAGTTTGACTGTTTTTGTCAACACTTTAGCAGATAGAAAGTGATCATCAGAGGGAGGGAAATGGTAAGAGTCAAGTTATTAAAATCAGGTTATGAAGTCAGAGTTGTCCAGCAGCTAGGCTGACCTTGTCATCTGTCACATGGAGTCCAGGACAAGGAAGGGGACACATGGTAGTATGGGGAGGGAGAATGTGTTAGGACGGGGTGGAGATACTCATACCTGGGTGAGGAAATGAAGGTTAGGAGAAGTCCGCTGGCCCCAGACTCTAGGACTTCAGGGACCCCTGCACACAGTGGAGTCATGGCCAAAGCAGTGCTGCTACTACACAGCACATGAATCCTGGGAGCACAGTCTACTTACTCTTAAGCCTGGGAGTTATTGTTTTGTTCCAGATGCAGTTCGACCTCCTGAACTTGTCTGCACTCCATCATCTATACCTCATACCTGCTGTTATTCACACCCACAGCAGGCCCATGCCAGCCTGTTCCTAGACTCATAGTGGCATCTCTGTGGCTCTCCTTGCTTTGATCTTACATCCCTACTCCTGCGATCAACCCTCCACGCTGCTACCAGTAGGCTTCTAAAAGGGCTAATCTATTAGCTCCAGACCCTCTGCAGCCTAGCAGACTTCATAGGTGCTCCATTTCCTCTAAGACATGCACTCCTTGCTTGGAAATCAAGGCCTTTCATGACCTAGCTCCAGCTTACTGTCCTCCTTCATCTCCTCCCATCTCCTGCTTCTTATTTCTGTGGGTTCTTTCTGTTCCAGAAATCCAACTGTGGCCCTGCCACAGGAAGCAACAGGAAGCTGAATTTGCAGTTTCTATTCTTTCCTAATGGCATACTCTTTCTTGGTCTTCACAGCTTGAAACATTTTATGCTTCAAGTCTTAGCTAAATACTACCTCATTTGCAAAGTTTTTCTTACTGCCCAAGCCAGATTCCAGGATATCCTATGCTCCCAAATGAATTTCGAACATGCTTCCAGTATAGCAATATTCTTGCTCTTTTGTCTTTCATTTCTGCCTCCCCAGTAGGCTCTGGGAGAAGAGAGACACATGTCATAAGTTTTGAAGACCCAGGTCCTAGTACATTACCTGCTCCAGAATGTGGAATTAACATTTCCTTGGATAAATAAATGTGAAACTCTCATGCTGTGTTTAGGCTTCCTTGATTGTAACTTCTACTTCTCTCTCTATGGTGCTAACATTACACCCACAGACTCTGAAAATGTCAGAAACATGTGAAACAACATTGCTTTCATCGCTATCACTAATGCAGCATTTCACTCTCTTCCCCTGGGCTTGCTGGCTTGCACTTGAAATCCCAGCTACTCAGGATGCTGAGGCAGGAAGATCAGTTGAGGCCAGGAGTTTGAGACCAGCCTGGGCAACATAGTGAGACCACAGTCTCTAAAAAACAAATAAACTCTCTTCTTTCTAAATTATAGGGTGTCAATGTGAACCTCGTGACAATTAACCGGGTGTCTTCTCTCCACGAGGCATGCCTTGGAGGTCACGTGGCCTGTGCCAAAGCCTTGTTGGAAAATGGTGCACACGTGAGTACTGCCCCTGCCCACTTGGGTCTGTCTGGCCAGATGCATCTGTTAATGTTTAAAGACAGTTTACCTTCCAGATGGCTTACCCACTGTGGGTATGGGCTGGGCTGGTTCTATCCATGTCCTTATTCCATCATTTAGGCTACTCCTCTCTCTTCAGCTTACACCCCTGTGTGTAAATATTCAGACATGGCAACTCACAGGAACCTTTTAAAACTGTGTTGCTGACCTTAAGAAATCTTTACTGTACCACGTTTTCTTTTCTTTCTTTCTTTTTTTTTGAGACGGAGTCTTGCTCTGTCGCCCAGGCTGGAGTGCAGTGGCGTGATCTCGGCTCACTGCAAGCTCCACCTCCCGGGTTCACGCCATTCTCCTGCCTCAGCCTCCTGATTAGCTGGGACTACAGGCGCCCGCCACCACGCCCGGCTAATTTTTTTTTTTTGTATTTTTTAGTAGAGACGGGATTTCACTGTGTTATCCAGGATGGTCTCGATCTTCTGACCTCGTGATCCACCCGCCTTGGCCTCCCAGAGTGCTGGGATTACAGGCGTGAGCCACCGTGCCCGGCCACCATGTTTTCTTTATGCATTCATCTGCTGATGGACACTTGGGTTGCTTCCAGGTCTTCGCAATTGTGAACAGTGCTGCATCAGACACGGGAGTGCAGATATCTCTTTGATGTATTGTTTTCCTTTCTTTTGGGTATATACCCAGCAGTAAGATTGCTGGATCATATGGCAGCTCTAGTTTTAGTTTTCTGAGGAACCTCCAAACTGTTCCCCATAATGGTTGTACTAATTCATAATCCCACTAACACTGTATGAGGTTTAATAACAAGATTTTAAAGAACAATAGAAAACACTCTTAATTCAACATCTTCAATGGACAACTATTTTTATTGAGCAAAATTATCAAAATAAATGACCTTTTAATAAACAATACATTGGGGGAAATCTACAGAATTGGACTTTGTCTTATTTTAAATTTATCTCCAAACTTTTTTCGAAGCGTGATTGAGGTGCATTATATAATATAGATACCAGAATAGAATCATAAAATCACAACTTCTAAAAATCTTCTGTATTTAGTTGCCGGATGCTCTTTGTTTCTAATTTTGTTGTTTAACTCAGTCCTTGCAATATTTATTTTATGAACTGCAATGTTTTTAAGTGCTTAATGACAATTTAAAAAAATTTTATGTGGAAATTGGGTTTCCACATGGAGAACTGAATATAAAAGTCTTCCTTGTGAAACTACTTTTCCTGAGGCCATTGTGGTCATGCATTTTCTTTTTTCAATTTTTTTTCCCCTTCTTTCTTTTTTTTTAAGACAGAGTCTCACTAACACTATTGCCCAGGCTGGAGTGCAGTGGCACAATCTCAGCTCACTACAACCTCTGCTTCCCAGATTCAAACGATTCTCCTGCCTCAGACTCCTGAGTAACTGGGATTACAGGTGCCCGCCACCACGCCCAGCTAATTTTTGTATTTTTAGTACAGATGGGGTTTTGCCATGTTGGCCATGCTGGTTTCAGACTCCTGACCTCAGGTGATCCGCCCACTTTGGCCTCCCAAAGTGCTGGGATTACAGGTGTGAGCCACCGTGCCCTGCCAAGTGGTCGTGCATTTTCATTAGATAGCGCTTCTCTAAGTCACCGCTTAGTCAGCTCATGGGTAATGATGAAAGAAGGCTGTGTGAGAGCCATTTCCTTTCAAGCTAGATGACTGGAGTCACAGGCAGACTGCTGACAATATCAGGTCAGAGAGGAGGTTTTGTTGGGCACAGAGAGAAGAATAAGACATGTTTCTTTGTCTTTGTCAAGTTTATAAAGAAACAGCCAATAAATACTGTATCACACCATTTAACATTTAAATCAGAATGAGAAATGAAATAAGAGAAAGCTGACCTTCAGTAGAAAGTCCCCCACAATTGGCAGTCCCATGAATACCTCAAACTCAGTGCATCTGTAACTGTGCTTATCATGTTCTTCCCTCTGGGACCTGCTCCTCATCTTGGGTTCCTAGTTTCAGAGGCCTGGTGAAACATCCTCGTGGTTTCCCAAGCTGCAAACCTGAGAGTCATCTTATTTCTTTCATCTCCCTATCTAATTAATGAAAAACTCCTGCTAATTTTACTTTCTAAGTTTTTCCCAAGTCTATCCTCTCCTTTGTCCTACTCCCATAGTTATCTAAATTCTTTATTATATTTTCAAAATGATTTATTTTTCGCCAGGCGCGGTGGCTCACGCCTGTAATCCCAGCACTTTGGGAGGCCGAGGCAGGTGGATCACGAGATCAAGAGATCAAGACCATCCTGGCCAACATGGTGAAACCCCGTCTCTACTAAAAATACAAAAATTAGCTGGGCATGGTGGCGGGCACCTGTAATCCCAGTTACTCAGGAAGCTAAGCAGCAGAATCTCTTGAACCCAGGAGGCGGAGGTTGCAGTGAGCCGAGATCATACCACTGTACTCCAGCCTAGCGACAGAGCAAGACTCTGTCCGAAAAAAACAAAAAACAAAAAGCAATAAAAACTTCTTTTTGTGTTTGTCTTCCCTAATAGAATTCAGCCTACTCAAGGAGAGGCAATTGTTCAGCCTACTCAAGGAGAGGCAATTGTCTTATCATTGTTTCCAAAACATTAGCACCTAGTAGATGCTCAATAAATGTTTGCTGACGTGAACTAAGAGAGAAATTTATAGGAAATCACATAAGAAGACAAATTCCTAGACTGGGGATGAGGATGATACTTAGAAAAACACAAATCAAACTAGTCCTACCAAATACTTTTTAGTAAAAATATAGAAACCCCTAGCAATATGAATTGACACACATTTTCCCCTGACCTTGCCTGTCTCTGCCATCTTAGCATCTTATCTTTAACTTTCCAATTTAATGGGGGTTAGGCTGGGTGTGGTGGCTCACAACTGTAATCCCTGCCCTTTGGCGGGCTGAGGCAAGAGGATCATTTGAACCCAGGAGTTTGAGACCAGCCTGGGCAACATAGCTAGACCCTGTCTACAAATAATTCTTCTAAATTTGTGGGTCATAGTGGTGCATGCCTGTAGTCCCAGCTGCTCAGGAGGCTGAGGCAGGAGGATCGCTCGAGCCTAGGAATTCAAGGCTGCAGTGAGCTATGATCACAACACTGCACTCCAGCCTGGATAACAGAGCAAGACCCTGTTTCACGGGTTATATTGCAACTCTGGAAACAAGTCTTTTTTTTGTGTCCAAAGCAAGGACATTTAGAATCCTGATTATCACAAGCATGTATCCTTAGTTGTTGAAGCAAAATTGTTTCACATCAAAAACTTGACTGTCCTACATTTCAATGGCATCAGAGCTCCCTACCACTCCTGCAGTTCCTGATGTTCTTTCCAATCTGTTGTTGATACACAGAGATGTTTCCCAGCCCTGCTGGTTCTCATGTGCTTCCCACATCCCTACAAGGTACCAAAGATGGTTGCAGACCCCATGTTGATGGCTGTTTTCTATGTCCCTTTGGCTTGGTCATGCTATCTCTAGAAGTAACAGCTGACATGCGTAATTTGCTTGGATTATAGTAGACCAGAGAGGAAGTTGTGGCAAGAAAGACAGTAGATCTGTGGAGAATTGCCAAGGATTTTGTAAGCATGGATTTTGGGACCACAGCTAGCTGATTTCTCCAGTGCTTTTGGTTCCTGCCATGTTTGTTCATGATTCAGAGGGGAGTCATATTAATGGAAAATGGAAAATGGAAATAATTGTTGTTGCAAATGCTTATTGAGTGCTGACTGGGCGACACATAATGTTTTAAGTGTTTGACATATAGTAACTCGCTCAATCCACCCAATAACTTCATGAAGTTTCATAATACTGTAAAGATGTGGAGTTCCCTCACCTATTCACCAGCACGGGGAATTCCTCTAGGCAAATACACAGGAAGACATACTTGGAGATGGTGAGAATGAAATAACAAATCCTCTGGCTCTCTCTTTGCCCGTCATTAGGTCAATGGAGTGACAGTTCACGGAGCCACGCCCCTCTTCAATGCTTGCTGCAGCGGCAGTGCTGCATGTGTCAATGTGCTGCTGGAGTTTGGAGCCAAGGCCCAGTTTGAGGTGCACCTGGCCTCGCCCATCCATGAGGCAGTGAAGAGAGGTAAATGAGCCACCACAATGCATGTGAAACATTGATGGGCTCACTCCAATCTGTATGAATCAATGGTCTAGTGTTAGTCATTCAAGGGTGACCCTGATCTTCCTCACCATTAGAATATGTGTGGCCTAGAAATCCCACAGCAGTAACTTCAATTTGTCTAAATCTTCAGGAAATACCAGTGTGGCACGAAGAACTCTACTTATAACTTCGGAATGCTTTCCTGACTCAGATGTCCCATTTCCTGGGGATGGTCTGTTGGCAGGCCTTTCCAGAGCCTCTTTGCTGGTGTTTTGGTGGCAGCTGGTACAGCCAAGGCAGTAGTTGTGACTTACTTGAATTGTACTATGCTTATGTCTCTGTCCTTGGTAGGCAAGAATAGCTTATCCTCTAAAGTCCATAAAATACCAACCACTAACCTAAAATAAACTATGAAAATATCTGAAACCCAAGGCTGATACTATCTCTAATGGAATAGTAAATGTAACTGTTCATAATAAGTTACACAATCTAGATGGACTGATGACTTCAAAGTCATAATTATCGGAAAGAAAAGGCTGCAACTTTCCAAAGTATAGCATTGGAAATCTTGAAGCTGACTCCAGACTCCTGTGTTGTCAGTTAATTTCAAAGTGAAGGAAAATAGTAAATTCAAGGAATTTAAAAACTATATGCACAGACTAGACATGAAGGAGAAGATGCCACTGAAAGGACAAGGCCATTTGTCAAAGGTCACACACCCAAAGAGCGACATTTTGATGATAGCCAGTGAGGGAGTTGTTCTCTTAACTGAGATCAGAAATACAATGGTGAAGTTAAAACACTCTAGAATAGTGATCTTTGCTGGTGTAATTTGGGATGAAATACTTTATTTCAAAAGGCAAAAGTGAAAGATTTGTTCCAGGTTATTAAACATGTCACTTGCCAATTTTTTTTCCAGTGGATCACCTTAAATGATGCAAAAGACCCAAATCTAAATTTATCTATGTATTTTATGTTCTAAATGTATTTAATACACATTTATTAAATAATAGCTGATGTTAGTCATTTCCCAAACATCATGTAAGTCCTTTAATTTGTAGAATAATGAACTACTTTGGAAACGATATAAATGTCTTTCTTTTTTTTTTTTTCTTTTTTTTGACAGAGTCTCATGCTATTGCCCAGGCTGGAGTGCAGTGGTATGATTTCTGCTCACTGCAACCTCCGCCTCTCAGGTTCAAGCAATTCTCCTGCCTCAGCCTCCCAAGTACTGGGATTGCAGGTGCCCGCCACCACAATTGGCTAATTTTTCTATTTTCAGTAGAGACGGAGTTTCACCATGTTTGTCAGTCTGGTCTCGAACTCCTGACCTCAGGTGATCCACCTGCCTAGGCCTCCCAAAGTGCTGGGATTACAGGCGTGAGCCACCGTGCTTGGCCATATAAGCCTTTTTTTTTTTTTTTTTTTTTTTTTTTTTTGAGACAGAGTCTTGCTCTGTCTCATAGGCTGGAGTGCAATGGCACAATCTTGGCTCACTGCAACCTCCACCTCCGGGGTTCAAGCGATTCTCCTGCCTCAGCCTCCCAAGTAGCTGGGATTACAGGCACCTGCCACAGTGCTCAGCTAATTTTTGTATTTTTGAGTAGAGACAGGGTTTCGTCATGTTGGCCAGGCTGGTCTCGAACTCCTGACCTCAGGTGATCCACCCATCTCAGCCTTCCAAAGTGCTGGTATTACAAAAAGTCTTTATTAAAAATTTAATATTGATTTGATATAAATGTTTGAAGTAAAAATTAATATTATTTGTATTTCCGTACAAATGTTTAAAAATTGATAAGTATTGGGAATGGTTTGAATTAATTAGGTATGTCTGCAGTGCTTGGCTGATTATATTTGGAGCTTTTGGTATCTGTGTGCCTATAAAACATATATATGCTCGTAATAAACAAATACTTTGTGTGTTTCTGTATATTTTTCTGTATTGTAAAAGCATGTTAAGGATAAATATCCACAGAATGGAAGCATGATTAGCAAATTCATTATTTTATACACTTTGTATTAGTGCTAGCCATTTAACTTTTCTGTATTCATTTTTAAAACTTTCTGAGAATATTTAAATTTAACTCAAACTAGGCTGTTTCTTGTTCTTCAAAAAAAAGACAAGAATTATTCAAAAATATGTGTTAAATACCCTGTATTTTCCAAGTAGTTTTAGGGACTTACTAGATATTATTTCTGGATTCTTATAGCTCTAAACCTCTATGAACAAGCTGAGTCATAGTTTGAATCAATACCTTGACATACTGATGCTGTAATCCAGGTATAATATTTAATTATGTGAACAAATAGTTTGAATTGACAGTCCTGATTTGTACATTTTAATGCATATTTATACTTAATTTAGAATTTGTGATAAATCAGGTAGGTCTAAAATGAAGCTTACTTTTATGTTATCGGCAAAGAATAGGTTGGCTAAATTAATTAGTAATGACATGATTTTTTTAGGGAGACATTTAAATCTTCAAAGAGAACTAACTCTTTGCAAGCTCCCATCAATACCTCAGAAGCACTCTCTCCTGAACGAAGCATTCACAGGTTGCGAATTAATCATGTCTATCTATTTATTGGGCAAACTCTCAAAAGAGAATGCTTGCTTACATAGTTGTTGTTAGCCACTGAATTTGAAAGTGTATTTAAATATATTCTACACGTAAGACTTCTTTATTCTTTCCCATAGGTATTTTCCAGACTAACCAAAATAAAGTTGCAGGCCATATATCCAATCTCACATCATGGAGAAAGAAGAGAATGAGAGATTTATAATGGAGAGGGGACAGGGTTCTCTCGGGTTTGAGTACTAGCTTTTCAGAGTAATAATAGGCCTAGTCGTTTGTCCCTCTGGGTCTTGTCACTTCCATTTGTAAAATGGTGGCATCATTCTGGAGAGTGATTTCAACTGTGCTACTTGGAGCCCTTAGTTTAGTTAAAGTTAAATCGGGTTGCAAAGAGAAGCTGGAGTGGGGAAGCATGGCCATGCTCCTCTTTTTATTGGTATTATTTTGGGGGTTTCTACCTAAGATTTCCAAAAACAAACAAAAATTTTTTTTTCTACTGCAAAAAGAGATCTAGGTTACTTATTTTTTTTTATTTATGTATTTTGAGACAGAGTCTCGCTCTGTCAGGCAAGCTGGAGTGCAGCGGCGCGATCTCAGCTCTCTGTAACCTCCACCTCCTGGGTTCAAGCGATTCTCCTGCCTCAGCTTCCCGAGTAGCTGAGATTACGGGCGTGTGCCACCATGCCCAGCTAATTTTGGTGTTTTTAGTAGAGATGGGGTTTCACCATGTTGGCCAGGCTGGTCTCGAATTCCTGACCTCAGGTGATCCACCCACCTCAGCCTACCAAAGTGCTGGGATTATAGGCTTGAGCCACTGCACCTGGCCAACCTAAGTTATTTCTAAAGCCCATTTCAGATAAGCAATCCTATAATTCTGTGAATATTTAATATGTCCCTTACTTGAGTGAGGGTATCTTGTGTTCCACCAGGTCACAGAGAGTGCATGGAGATCCTGCTGGCAAATAATGTTAACATTGACCATGAGGTGCCTCAGCTTGGAACTCCCCTGTATGTGGCGTGCACCTACCAGAGGGTAGACTGTGTGAAGAAACTTCTAGAATTAGGTAATTTCCAAAATTATTTTCATGAAGAAACCTATTAACTTTGTTGGTTTTCTGTAGCTTCAAAGATGAAGTTCTTGTCATGGTTGAAAAACATTCGGTTAGCATTTTATGTTTGAATGCTAAAAACAAAACTTCTCTAGAGAACTGACTGTATTTCTCAGTCCTGCTTTCTTTGATGTTAACTCCATTTACCTGGTATTGTTCTCCCTGGTTGTCACAAGATGGCTGCCAGCAATACCTGGGCTTACAGCCCTCCTTATCCATACACAGCAAGAAAGAGCATTGGCTCTTTTTGAGTCACATGCCCATCTTTGAACCCCTCATGGGGGCCAAGGAAATACAATACATTGATTGGTTTAGGCCTAGATTTCAACCTACTCTGCATTTATTAGGCTTCACTGGAAACACAAGAACTGAAACTCACAAGAGGGTGGTTTCCCTTCGGGAAATCTAGGTATGCTTGCCAAGAAGATGCTGGACAGTAAAAACAACAGACATTTGCTACAGGCTAGTTTATATCTATCCTGCTACAGTATCTAGTCATTTTAAAAGCAATTCTAAAAGGCATATACAGAAACCGAGAGTCTGTGGAAAAATGAACTATCTTTTTCTTTTTTTTTTTTCTGTTTTTGAGATGAAGTTTCGCTCTTATTGCCCAGGTTGGAGTGCAATGGCGCGACCTCAGCTCACTGCAACCTCCACCTCCAGGGTTCAAGCGATTCTCCTGCCCTAGCCTCCTGAGTATCTGGGATTACAGGCGCACACCACCACACCCGGCTAATTTATTGTATTTTTAGTAGAGACAGGGTTTTACCATGTTGGCTAGGCTGGTCTTGAACTCCTGACCACAGGTGATCCACCCACCTCAGCCTCCCAAAGTGCTGGAATTACAGGTGTGAGCCACTGTGCTTGGCTGGAAAAATGAAATATCTTGAAACTATTATTTGACTAAAGATTCAACAAACTTAGCCCCTGACATAAAGGTGGAGATTGTAGTAAAAACCTTTATTGTGAATTTTTATCTTGAGGAAGTTTTTGTCTTTTTTACTTCCCATCATTTACTATTCTCTGTAGTAAGTTCAGAAATCATTTCTTGAGCCCCAAATAATATAAATACTAAATAAACTTAGCTTTATCTTTTGCCCCCAAACATAATAACTATGTAACAAGAGCCTCAAATACTTTATTTTGTATGCCACACAGTTTGTACGGGAAAGCAAATATTTAAAATAATTAAAAATATCTAAATTCACTTTTCTCACCAAATAATTTCAAGTAGTCTTAGTAGGCATTGCTGAGGTTCTAGGCTTAAATCACATGTTTTCAAAGATTTGTCAAATATGTCATGGTACTTAAAATGTCTTTATATGCAATTACTATATTTGAAGCTCATTGTGCTTTACATTACCATTTAGTGTTGAATTGTGGCCATCTGTTTTGTTAAGGAGCCAGTGTCGACCATGGCCAGTGGCTGGACACCCCACTCCATGCTGCAGCAAGGCAGTCCAACGTGGAGGTCATCCACCTGCTAACCGACTATGGAGCTAACCTGAAGCGTAGAAATGCTCAGGGCAAAAGTGCGCTTGATCTGGCGGCTCCAAAAAGCAGCGTGGAGCAGGCGCTCTTGCTCCGTGAAGGTAACCAAGGGCTGGGTATCCATTCTTCTTCCATAAGCACATTCTCTCCCCTTCCTGTCTCATCTGTAGCATTTTTTTCCTTTTTCTTTTCTTTTATTCTTTTTCCTTTTTTTTTCTTTCTTTTTTTTTCTTTTTCCTTTCTCTTTCCTTTTTCTTTTTAATTGAAGGTGGCATTGTGGGAGGCGACAAGCCCTGCTGTCACTGACCTGTCTTCTGGGATTTTATATGCTGTGTATATTCACTAAAAACCAAGGGGCATTTACATATAACCAGAGTGTTGCTTTGTATTTTCCATAACAAGAAAATAACCAGAAAACCGGCCGGGTGTGGTGGCTCACGCCTGTAATCCCAGAACTTTGGGAGGCCAAGGCGGATGGATCACAAGGTCAGGAGTTGGAGACCAGCCTGACCAACATGGTGAAATCCTGTCTCTACTAAAAATACAAAAATTAGCCGGATGTGGTCGCTGGTGTCTGTGGTTCCAGCTATTCAGGAGGCTGAGGCAGGAGAATTGCTTGAACCTGGGAGGCGGAGGTTGAAATGAGCCGAGATTCCACCACTGCATTCCAGCCTGGGCAACAGAGCGAGACTCCGTCTCAAAAAAAGAAAACCAGAAAACCTTGTTTTTACCCCAAAAATGTTGAATTTCCATTTCTGTCCTGGCATAAGCATATGATTGAGCAAACCAAAACTCTTTGTAATGTTGGGAGACAATCTGATGGCAAATTCAAAAGACTTGAGTCAGAGTCAGTAGGGGAGGACACAGAGTATTTCAGAAACCCGACTAAATGGTGAGGTTGCGTGCCTGTTCCCCAGATCAGGGAGTAGGTGGGTCTGCATACCTCATTGCTTCATTCCCATTTCCACCATGGGCATTAAGAGCAACTATGATGCCAGAAGAGGTAAGTCGAGCATCTGAAATTCAGAAGAGAACTTCTTACATCTATACAGTAAGAAAATATTTTGAGCCTATATTGATTATTTGTGTGCTTGGAGAATATTAAGACAATTATCATTATTCAGCTTTACGTGTGCCAGGCACTGGGCTAAATTTGAAACATAGATCAATCTCACTGAATTTTTAAAACTTTAGAGCAGTGGGAACTTTATACGGTAGTAGCTGGTTGCTATGCCAGGTACAAATGGGAAAAGAAAAGCATAGGCAAGGTCACACAGCTAGCTATATAATAGAATTAGGTAAGATTCTAAGCCATCTGACCCCAGAATGTGCACTCTTTTTTTTTTTTTTTTTTTTGACATGGAGTCTCACTCTGTCTCCAGGTTGGAATGCAGGGGCGCCATCTCGGCTCACTGCAAGCTCTGCCTCCCGGGTTCACGCCATTCTCCTGCCTCAGCCTCTCAAGTAGCTGGGACTACAGGTGCCCACCACCACGCACGGCTAATTTTTTGTATTTTTTTTAGTAGAGACGGGGTTTCACGGTGTTAGCCAGGATGGTCTCGATCTCCTGACCGCGTGATCTGCCCGCCTGGGCCTCCCAAAGTGCTGGGATTACAGGCGTGAGCCACTGCGCCTGGCCCAGTGTATTACTTTCATTGGCACATTCAATACATTAATGAGATGCATTCCCGTTAGACCCCACACTGCATTCCTAACTTGCCTCTGGTTAGCCTCATTCTTCAACATTGGTAATCTAAGTACCCTTGGAAGATCATCTTAAAGAAATGCATCCCTTCCAGAGGGGCAAATCGGGATCCACTGCCTGTATTTAGTGTCCGCTACATCATTCTATAGTTCCTATACAGATCCAGCTTCTCTTCTGCTTTTAGAAAGTTTCCCCTCTTCCAGTTCTCTGATTTCCCCCTTCCACACCATCTCCCACCACTATGAAGTTAACACCATTTTCATTTCTCTCTCAGGCCCACCTGCTCTTTCGCAGCTCTGCCGCCTGTGTGTCCGGAAGTGTCTCGGTCGAGCATGTCATCAAGCCATCCACAAGCTACGTCTGCCGGAGCCACTTGAACGATTCCTCCTATACCAATAGTCCTAAGTGTCCCTGGGAAGATACTTGGAATGACACAGATTGTTGTCTGCTGTACCTAGAGTACCTAGTGTGGAAGCTCAACAGCTAGACTCTTAGTATCTTCAAATGAGCTCAGTTGAAGTAAATCCCCCATGAGCTAGAACACTTGAGGAGTGGAAACTCCTGGTTAGTGTAATGTTCTTATTAACCAAGGGGCAACTAGAAACTGTTTAGCTTTTAGCTCTTGTTGTTAAAGAAACTTAAAAAAACTGTGAAGTAGAGTGAAAACAATAGGCTATTTTTTGATGATTCAGGATCTTCTTGTACCTAAAAGTCAACATTCTGAATATTGTATAGACACATATAAATTCAGGTGGATAAGATTATAACAAGTGTTAGGTTTTCCAAGATATGTTCTTGATTCAGTTCTTCCCTTCAGCCCTTCCCCATTTTTTTCTTTCTTTCCTTGAATTAATCTTCTATAATTTTGATTTTTTTGTGTATATATATATACACACACACATGCACACATATATTTAATGTTTTCAAAGTCCTTAATATATGTATAAAGCTTATATATATGTTTTCAAAGTTCTTTATATATGAGGTTATATATATTTATGTAGACTTTATATGTATACATATACAAAGTTAAGGACTTCAAAAATATTGTGTAGTTAACTGAGGCTTCCAATTACCAAGGTCCTGGTTGGTAAGAAAGACTTTGGAAGAGATCAGTGCACCCAGAGTTTGGCATCTTATTGCTTCTGATATTCAATGCTGTTATTTGAAGTAAGCAGTTCTAGGATTGAGAACACTGGGTGTCCCCAACAACCTGAACCCACAGTCATTGTCTGAGGCATGTTGCAACCCAAGCACTGGCTTGTTTTCAAAGTCAAGATCCTCAGGGTTTTTGAAATAATTACATATTGATGCCAGCCACCAAAGTGGGTTCAATGCTGGGTCATTATTTTTTTCTGTGGATAGGGGCCCAAAATAAGCACAAAGGTATATAAAAAGAGGTTTCTCCTTTCTGTCTTCTCCTTCTTCTCATTTCTCTCTCCTTCTGCCACCCCTCCTCTTCCTCTCTTCTTTCTCCTTTTTGTGAATTTAAAACATGGGAACTGGATAGACTTTTAATTGTTATAAGTATTACTGTCACGGTTCAGTGTTCGGTTCTAAAATGAAAATTTCCTCTCAGATCATCCTAAGACTCATTTCACACATGTATTTTTTCCCCTGTTTTTCTAGACCTTTGGCTCTCCACTGGAGACAATTTTGCCCCACTCCCACTGAGACGTTTGTCAATGTCTGCAGACATGTTCAGTTGCAACAACTGGGGGAGAATTGCTACTGTCATCTAGAGGGTGGAGACCAGGGATGCAGCTAATCACGCACAGTGCACAGGAGCCTGCAACCAAAAATTATCAAGTCTGGCCGGGCACGGTGGCTCACGCCTGTAATCCTAGCAATTTGGGAGGCCGAGGCAGGCAGATCACAAGGTCGGGAGTTTGAGACCAGCCTGGCCAATATGGTGAAACCTCATCTCTACTAAAAATACAAAAGTTAGCCAGGCGTGGTGGCAGGCGCCTATAGTCCCAGCTACTCAAGAGGCTGAGGCAGGAGAATTGCTCAAACCTAGGAGGTGGAGGTTGCAGTGAGCCGAGATTGCACCACTGCACTCCAGCCTGGGTGACAGAGCGAGACTCTGTCTCAGAAAAAGAAAAAAAGAAAAAAAAAGAATTATTGGGTCCAAAATGTCAATAGTGCCGAGAGTGAGAAACCTTCCTCTAAGCCTGTGCTATTCAATACAGTAGCTACTAGTGACATATAGCTAATGAGCACAGGAATTGTGGATAGGCTGAATTAACATGTGTTGTAAGTGTAAAATACATATTGTATTTTAGTGATTGAGTAAAAAAAAAAAGAATATGAAATATTGTGAACTTTGTTTTCTTTTGTTTTGTTTTCTTTTTTTTGAGACGGAGTTTTGCTTTTGTCAACCAGTCTTGAGTGCAATGGCACGATCTTGGCTCGCTGCAACCTCTGCCTCCCGGGTTCAAGTGATTCTCCTGCCTCCGCCTCTGGAGTAGCTGGGATTGCAGGCATCTGCCACTAGGTCCGGCTAATTTTTGGTATTTTTAGTAGAGACGGGCTTTGACCATGTGGGCCAGGCTCGTCTCAAACTCCTGACCTCAACTGATCCACCCGCCTCTTCTTTTTCTGTTTTATTTTTTATTTTTTTGTTTTGAAATATTAATAACGTTTGATGTTGTATTTTTAATTTTTGAAAACTTCCATACTGTTTTTCATAGTGGTTGTAGTAATTTACATTCCCACCAATAGTGTATAAGAATTCCCTTTTCTCCACATCTGCACCAGCATTTGTTATTTTCTATTTTTTGGATAGCCATTCTAACTGGGGTAAGATGATATCTCATTGTGCTTTTGATTTGCATTTTCCTGATGATTAGTGATGTTGAGCATCCTTTCATATACCTGTTGGCCATTTGTATGTCTTTTTTTTGAGAAATGTCTATTCAGATCCTTTGCCCATTTTAAAATCAGATTATTTGTTTTGTTGTTGTCAAGTATGGTCTAGCAATCCTATTACTGGATATTTATCAAAAACAAAGGAAATCAATGTATGGAAGAGGTAGTTACACCCCCATGTTTATTGTAGCTCTATTCAGAAGAGCAAGATATGAAATCAACTTAAATGTTTATCAGTAGATCAATGGATAAAGAAAATGTGGTATATATACAAAATGAAATACTATTCAGCCTTAAAAAGGAAGGAAATTCTGTCATTTGCAGCAACATGGATGAGCCTAGAGGACATTATGTTAAGTAAGTCAAGCACAGAAAGATAAACACCATATGTTCTTGCTTACATGTGGAAGCTAAAAAAATTGAGCTCACAGAAATAGAGAGTAGAATTATGCTTATTAGAGGCTGGGAAGGGTAGTGGGGAGCGGGCAGTAGGGAAATGTTGGTTAATGGATACAAAATTATAATTGGATAGAATAAATAATTTCTAGTGTTTCATAGCACTGTAGGGTAAATGTGGTTAACAATAATTTCTTATATATTTTTGAAAAGCTAGAAGAGAAGATTTTGAATGTTCATAGCAGAAATGATAAATGTTTGAGGTGACAGATATGCTAATCATCCTGATTTGATCACTTCTAGGTATTAAAATGTCACTCTGTACCCCATATACAGTTATTACATACCAAATAAAATTAACTGAAAAAGCTTTTGATGTTGATCACACAGTGAAATGATAATCTTTTGAATATATTAGGTTAAATAAAATGTATTATTAAAATTAATTTCACTGGCTTTCTTTTTACTTTTTTAGTGTGACTATAATAACATTTTACATTACATGTGTGGCTCACATTACATTTCTATTAACAGTACTCAATCATTTTCTGATTTTTAAATTTTGGAATATCTAATAATCTTAGTTAATTATCTGGGGGGAAAGGTTACATTTTAATCTTACATCATATTTCCAAAACAAATCTTGCTTTTAAAAAAAAAATTTAAAAATTAAATAATGCTATAAAAATACTATAAGAAAATATACATGAATATACATGAAAGGGAAAGCATTTTTGAAATATATCAAAGGCAGAAAGGTTAAAGGAAAATACCGATAAATTGGAATACATCAAAAATTATGTTGCAAAAAATGCCATATATAAAATCAAAGTGCAAACCAAAATAGAGGAAAACTGTACGTGACATCTATAGCAGATCAAAAGTCAATATTCTAGGACAAAGGTGATCATCACATCCCACTCTTAGCTTTCTCCTTTTCCCAGTGGAGAATTCTGGTGAACAAGGATGTAAATATTACCCAAATCTTGAGTAAATTCTAAAACGTATATGATACTTTGTGCATTTTTTAGAAGATATTAAGGAAAGAATCTAGATTATTTATCTGGCTCTACATGCTATAATATATGTATTGCATGACGTGGTGGCAAAACAATATGTAAACTTACCTGTTTCAGGTGGGATCAAATTCTCCTTCTATGAGAGATGTGACGAGAAAAACTGAAGAGTGTTTACAAACCTTGGGAAAGTCAATTTTCACAAATCTTGAGGAAGGTACAGCGTAAGTCCAATGGCCATGAAAGGAGGTACAATTCATTGTGTCCCAAATATTAAAGGGCAGAGTGATCTCAGCTGATATCTACATTTCAATATATAAATAGTTCATTTACAAATCAATAAGAATAATATAGGTTCATGAATAGAAATATTAGCAAAGGGAATGACTAGGAAACTTATCAAATAACATACAAATAAATAGTCATAAGAATGTTAAAGATAGAAAATTGATTGAAAGAAAGGACGGATTTGAAACAGGATGAGGAGCCGTTTGAGCCATCATTAGAAAGAGGAAAGAATGGAGAGTCTCTTCCTATCCTAGAACGTTTAGAAATTGGAGACTTTCCTTCAATGTGTTCTCGCGAATGTATTTTGTTTTGTTTTGTTTTTTGTTTTTTTCGTCAACTGGGATCTTGCTGAATGTCTGAGTACTGTGTTAAGCCCTGGGAGGCTCTAGGACATTCAACCAGTCTGTGACGCCAGGGAAGTGTTCCATTGCCCACTGCAACTGCAGACCATGGATGCCACAAATTATCTGTATGGACCTCCCAACAATGGTAGGCCTGTATTTGTGTTGCGGGAGGAGGTGGCACTCAAATCCTGAACAACTATTCACCAGAATTCATCTGATTGTCCAGGTCCCTGAATCCTAGAGTGGTGCCAATGTCTTACAATTTATGAATGAAAGTACTAGACATGAGGTAATCTTTAAGTTCCTTTTAAGGCCTAATCCATTAAGCTATATTTAGACCATCAGACTAATCATCTGGTTTTTATGAAATTATTTTGTTACCAACTTTAGATCTAGGTTTGTTCTGCTTACATGCAGTAAACCAATCACTGTGACACAGGTTTTGCAAAAGAGAAAATATTTATTCACAAGGCTGCCAAGCAAGGAAGCAGGAGAACAGCTCTCAAATCCACCTTCCCAAAGATAAGGCTTAGCTATATTTATGGGTTAGGGAAGTGGGGTGGTCTAAGGCATGGGAAAAAGTGATTGACAGTGGGGAAAAAAGTAACAGGTTTATTCTGGGCAAGCATAGCCAGGGTTCATGACATTACATAGGACATACAAACCAAAAATAGTGGCATTAGCATGATCTGAGGTGTCATTTTTGGTCTTCTGACATCAGAAGGCCAGTTCTCAGGCACTTCTGGAGGCCTAGTTGAAGAGCCAGTGACCTTAACCGGTTTGAACTGGACAGGAGCTGGCCCAAGTTCCTGAAAAACAACTGAAGCAATCATTACTGTGGTGAACTATGAATGTTATTTATAAAGTAGCCAGTGAAGATTAAGTTTCAGTGTTCAGCAGAGAGGCATTCAACTACTGTAGCCTTCAGCTTCATGAAAAAAGAAAAGAAATAACAAAAAGCAAGCCACCGAAAGCAAGCAGGGCA